CATCATACTTCAGGTGAAGGTTTACAGAACAAATAGTGTCTCATTAAACAGTCAGTACACATATTGTTTTATGACATTGGTTAAAAACCCCACAACATGTCAACCCTCTCCCTTCTTGACCTTTTTTTTTTTTTTTTATGAAAATATACATAGCCAAAGATACACCATTTCAAAAATTTCTACATGCACGGTTCAGTGACATCAATTACATTCTTCCAGTTGTGCTGCTATTCTCACTTTAGATGAAGGTTTACAGAACAAAATAGTTTCTCATTAAACAGTTAGTACACATGTTGCCCTATGACAATGGTTAACAACCCCACTACATGTCAACACTGTCCTTACTCAACCTTGGGTTCCCTATCACCAGCTTTCCTGTCCCCTTCTGCCTTCTAGTCCTTGTCCCTGGACTGCTGTGCCTCATTAGTCCCATTTTGTTTTATGGGGCTGTCCAGTCCCCGGCTGAACGGTGACCCTCGGAAGTGACTTCACCACTGAGCTAAAACGGTGTCTGGGGGCCATGCTCTTGGGGTTTCTCCAGTCTCTTTCAGGCCAGTAAGTCTTGTCTTTTTTTGTGTGTGTTAGACTTTTGTTCTACATCCTTCTCCACCACTTTCCAGAACCTCTGTTGTGATCCCGGTCAGAGCAGTCAGTGGCGGTAGCCGGGCACCATCTAGCTGTACTAGACTCAGTCTGGTGGATGCCTTGGTAGCTGTGGTCTATTAGTCCTTTGGGCTGATCTTTTCCTTGTATCCTGTTCTCCTCATTCTCCTTGCTCCCGAAGGGGTGACACCAGTGGAGAATCTTAGATGGCTGCTCACAGGCTTTTAAGACCCCAGACACTACTCACCAAGGTAGAATGTAGAACATTATCTTTATAAACTGAAAACACAAGACTTCTTGTCATGTTGTATTCTAATTGTCCTTTAAAGAATTTTTTTTTCTTTTCGTCATGGCATTTGTTGTAATCAGATCAGCAAATTACTTCTTATAAAAGCCAATGTCTTGACAGTCATCTCATACAACCCAATCTTAAGAGTAGTCAAAACATAAAGATTTCTGTGTGTGTGGAAGGGGGTGCGTGTCTGCCTGCAGCTCAGTTCTTGAATCTGCCAGAGGCATTCCCGCATGGATCATTAAAAAAAGAGAAAAACACATACCATTTAGAGGCCAACAAAAGACTTTTAATCTTATCCTAACTAGCCAGAAAGCTCTATGTTTTTGAAAAATGTTTCCATCTACCATTTCAGAAAGCTATTAAAGAACCCACTAGGAAATTCTCTTTAGATTTTTTTAATTTTTTAATCCTAAAGGAGAAATCTTCACGATCATGACACATTAAGGTCAGAATATACTGCCCAAGGAAACAAAATTTCTTTGCTATGATTTATGCCTTAAAACTTTAAAAATAAATAAAATAAAAATACCATCATACTGTACAAATTTCTCTGCATCTAGTTCAATAAATATTAAAGAATAAGTCATTATTTTCTAGTATAAAAGAAAGTGAGTTACAATTCTCTTTACTATTTATTGAAGAGTATTCAACTATAACTTCATATGATTTTAGAGTATTGATTTAGCACGTTTCCCTATTGATTGACATTACTCTTACAAACAGCACACCACTAGAGATCCTTGTACAGATATACTTCTGAGATACTGTGGGTTCAGTTCCAGACCACCACAATAAAGCAATTATTGAAATAAAGAGAGACACAGTTTTTTTTTGTTTGTTTCCCAGTGCATATAAAAGTTATGTTTACACTATACTGTAGTCTACTAAGTTTGCAATAGCATTATGTCTAAAAAACAACATACATACCTTAATTAAAAAATACTTTATTGCTAAAAAATGCTAACCATCTTCTGAGCCTTCATTGAGTCATAATCTTTTAGCTGGTAGAGGGTCTTGCCTCTATGTTGATGGCTGCTGATTGATCAGGGTGGTGGTTGCTGAAGGTCGGGGTGGCTGTGGCACTTTCTTAAAATAAAATAACAATGAAGTTTGTCGCATTGATTGACTCTTTCCTTCACAAAAGATTTCTCTGTAGCATGCAATGCTGTTTGATAGCATTTTACCCACGGTAGAACTTCTTTCAAAATTGGAGTCAATCCTCTCAAACCCTACTGCTGCTTTATGAACTAAGTTTATGTCATATTCTAAATCCTTTGTTGTCATTTCAACAAAGTTCACAGCATCTTCACCAGGGATAGATTTTATCTCAAGAAACTACTTTCTTTGCTCATCCATAAGAAGCAACTCCTCATCCATTAAAGTTTTATCATGAGATTGCAGCAATTCAGTCACATCTTCAGGCTCCGCTTCTAATTCTAGTTCTCTTGCTATTTCTACCACATCTGTAGTTACTTTGTCCACTGAAATTTTGAACCTCTCAAAGTCATCCATGAGGGTTGGAATCAACTTCTTCCAAATTCCTGTTAATGTTGATATTTTGACCTCCTCCCATGAATCACGAATGTTATTAATAGCATCTAGAATGGTGAATCCTTTCCAGAAGGTTTTCAATTTACTTTGCCCAGATCCATCAGACGAATCACTATTTATGGCAGGTATAGCCTTACAAAATGTATTTCTTAAATAATAAGACTTAAAAGTCAAAATTACTCCTTGACCCATGGGCTGCAGAATGGATGTTGTGTTAGCAGGCATGAAAACAGCATTAATCTCCTTGTGCATCTCCATCAGAGCTCTTGGGTGACCAGGTGCATTGTCAATGAGCAGTAATATTTTGAAAGAAATCTTTTTTTCTGAGCAGTAGGTCTTAACACTAGCCTTAAAATAGTCAGTAAACCACGCTGTAAACAGATGTGCTGTCATCCAGGCTTTGTTTTTCCATTTATAGAGCAGAGGCAGAGTAGATTTAGCGTAATTCTTAACGGCTGTAGGATTTTTGGAATGGTAAATGAGGATTAGCCCCTAACAAGAGAGTCAGCTTGTCCTTAGAAGCTTTGAAGCCAGGCATTGACTTCTCCTCTGTAGCTATAAAAGTCCTAGATGGCATTTCTTCCAATATAAGGCTGTTTCATTTACATTGAAAATCTGTTATTTAGTGTAGTCGCCTTCATCAATTATCTTAGCTAGATCTTCTGGATAACTTGCTGCAGCTTCTACATCAGCACTTGCTGCTTCACCTTGCACTTTTATGTTATGGAGATGGCTTCTTTCCTTAACTCTCATGAACCAACCTCTGCTAGCTTCAAACTTTTCTTCTGCAGCTTCCTCACCTCTCTCAGCCTTCATAGAGTTGAAGAGAGTTAGAGCCTTGCTCTGGAGTAGGCTTTGACTTAAAGAAATGTTGTGACTTCTGTGCAGACCACTAAGACTTTCTCTATGTAAGCAGCGAGGCTGTTTTGATTTCTTGTCATTTATGTGTTCACTGTAGTAGCACTTTTAATTTCCGTCAAGAACTTTCCCTTGGCATTCACAACTTGGCTAAATGTTTGGTGCAAGAGGCCTGGCTTTCAGCCTAGCTCGGCTTTCAACGTGCTTTCCTCACTAAGCTTAATTCTTTCTAGCTTTTGATTTAAAGAGAGACAAGTGTGACTCTTTCATGTGAACACTTTGAGACCATTGTAGGGTTATTAATTGGCCTAATTTCAATATCATCATGTCTTAGGGAATAGGGAGGCCCAAGGAGAGGGAGAGAGACAGGGAGGGGTACAGCTGATGGGTAGAGCAGTTGGAATACACACAATATCTATCAATTAAGTTCACCATCTTATATGGGTGCGGTTCATGGCACCCCAAAACAATTACAATAGTAATCACAGATCACCATAACAGATATAATAATAATGAAAAAGTTTGAAATATTGTGAGAATTACCAAAAGGTGACACAGAGACAGAAGTGAGGACATGCTGTTGGAAAAATGGCACCAACAGGCTTGCTTGACACAGGGTTGCCACAAACCTTCAATTTGTAAAAAAATATCTGCGAAATGCAATAAAGTGATGTGCAATAAAAGGAGATATGTCTGTATATGTGTATCTGTGTATGTGTCTTAAGTTTAAAGAGTTATTGCTAGATTTCTTTCTAGCCTGGATCCTTAAGTGCCTAACAATTCTATATATAATTAATCTGTATTCTTACAGCCCTAGATCATGATTTAGAATAAACTCTCCTGAAATTGATGAGAATTCTGCACATGCTGGGTGAAAGTCTCATTTTGTCCTCATCCAGCTCTCTCATTGACTTAGAATGAGTAAGTAACTAGAGCAGATAATAATCTGCAGATGGGAGTAAAAGTAACTAAAACTCACTTTTCATTTTATTGTAACCTAAGTGCAACATCCCTGAATCAAATCTAAAAGCAATATGTTGTTGTTGTGTGCCGTCAATTCTGACTCATAGCGACCCTATAGGACAGTGTAGAACTGACCCATAGGGTTTCCTAGGCTGTAATTTTTACAGAAGCAGATGGCCAGGTCTTTGCTTCCACAGAGGGGCTGGTGGATTTGAATCCCTGACCTTTCGGAGAGCAGCCTACTCTTAATCATTGCACCACCAAAAAAAAAAAACAAAAACAAAAAACATAGCTGTCGAGTCTATTTCGACTTGTAGTAACCCTATAGAACAGAGTAGAACTGCCTGATAGGGTTTCCAAGGTTGTATTCTTTACGGGAACAGATTGCCCCATCTTTCTCCTATGGAGCCACCGAGTGGGTTCGAACCACTGTCCTTTTGGTTAGCAGCTGAGTACTTAACCACTGCACCACCAGGGCTCCACCAGGGCTCCTTAAAAGCAAGATAAAAAACAAACAAACAAGAAACCCCAAAACCAAATCCGTTGCTGCTGATTCGATTCCAACTCTTAGCGACCCTATAGGACAGAGTAGAACTGCCCCATAGGATTTCCAAGGAATGGCTGATGGATTTAAACTGCTGATCTTTTGGTTAGCACCCTGAGCTCTTAACCACTGTGCATTTTCCCGTGTTACCAGAAAATCATAACATATGATTCATTTTCAACATACCTGGGAATGTAGTCATCAGAGTACCCGTATACTTTATCTGAAAAATATTTAAAATAGACAAATTAAAAAAAAAAGTTAACATAAACTAGTTACAGATTTTCCTACACAGATGGGAGCGTAGACTCAGTTTCAGTTAACATCTGTGATCCAGCCACTCCAGCCAGGGCTCACTCATCGAGGTTTAAAGACCTTCTCTGATTTGAGCCAATCAGATTCTGTCTTGATGACGTATGATGGAAACATAGCTGGGAAGTGATGTGGAACCCAGATGTGTGGCCATGTGATGCACTGAAAAGGCTAAGCTGGAAAGTTGGAGCCTCCATTCCTGCCTTCCCTGTGGTTCCTGTCCACTGTGGGCAAGGCCATACTTTCTTCTTTGGGTTCCAGGACGCACCTCTGCATTCTTCTCATAAACTGTCCCCTTTACCTATGCTGGTTAGAATAGGCTTTTTTTCCTTACAATAAAAGATCCAAAGAGACATTTTTCTTTTTCTTTTCCCTACCCACTACCTTTTTTTTTGAAATGGCTGTTAACACTTCTTGGCGTGTGAGCAACAACATAAAGACGATGTTGAGGAAGTTGCTCTGATTGTGATTCCATTTCATCAACAGAGTGCAAGTAGTGGTCAGGAGAAATGAGGGGACTAAGGAGAAGAATTCTGAGAAAAGTTGGGAACACAGCATCTACAAATCATCAAAATAACAGAATGACTTCTAACAGAAACAGTACTCTATGATCTGAAGAGACAAGACTGACCAGAGAAATGATGTAGGGTATGAAAACAATGTCTGCCAAATCTCAGTAAGTAACCAATCTGATGAATCTTGAAGCAGGAGGCTCCAAGACAAATAAAAGGAAGTATTTTTACTCCAAGTTAAATAGTTAAATCTATATATTTAAAAGATGTAGGAAAATTTAATTTCCAGAAATCTTTTTAGTGAAAGATGATGGATTTATAATAAATTATTGAGGGAAATTAAGAAACAATCAGGTGCAATTTTAATAATATTTAGGATCAATATTATGAAGAAATTTGTACTACCTGTAAACAATTACAAAGATTATCTTTAGTTAGATTTTGTTAGACACAGTTGAGTTATTCTCCAGAAAGCTCATTAGCTGTTGTTAGAGAAACTTTATTGGAGTAAATTATGAAAATGGTCACATCAGGGGCTGGAATGGATATTTCACATATCAACGTGTTTTAAAGAGTTCAGTGAAAGATCCAAATGCAGGAAGTTTTTCAGACCATATATACCAAGCTGCTATGGGACCAAAAGTGACAAATGTAACCCTTTGGGGATGTATCAGAAATACACTTCTCCTAGTCTACAGAAAATATCCTACCAAAAACTTCACATAAAAGATGTGGTTATTTTCAACTACCTTCAGATTAGTTTTGGAAATACGAATGCACACAAAGGCTGGGAGCAGCCTGAAGAGGTCTAAAAGATGTTACACAGTTGCCACAAGTTAATGGAAGCCCAGAAAATCAGAAATCTTGAGTAACGTAAATGATATCAATAAGCATAAAAAGAAAAATTAGTTAATATATAACAGGAAATTGTAAACTGGAAAATGAAATATGGTATATAGTATGTGTTGATATCTTGTTACATGAAGGAAATGTTCATACTCGGGTCATTAGTTATTCACATTTTCTGGAATTAACATGCATATGCAAGAATTTATTTTAGTTAAACCATAGCCTGATATATCACAGGACAAATTCAGAGTTAAGAATCAGAATACTTTGGATTTTGGTACTAGCTCTGCAATGCATTTCCATGGGACAATATGCAAATCACTTAAAAACTCTGATTCTCAATTTATCCATAAAGTAGGGCTAATAGTGCTTTCCTCATGGAGTAGATGTGGAGGTTAAATGAGATAATCTCCACTAAAACACTTTAAAAAATGGCAAAGTTAGTTATCAATATATGCATTCTAAATCCATATCATATAACAAGCCATAATTTAATGTGTAGATTTGAGTTGGGAAATTTCTTCATTAAATGAGTTAACTGAAAATTGGCTGATATAATTCAGATGCTATTTTAAAGGTAAAAGAATTCTAAGTAGAGCCTGATTTGGACTGAAATTGCCAAATCTCACCTTTAACAAGAGGATTGTCACCAGCTGAACAATACTTTGAAAATGAAAAATAAAAATAAGCTAACAAAAATTTTTAAAGCAAAAATAAAGAGAGATTACTTAACTGGAATAAGAAAAAAAGGTATGAAGTAAAAATATTTCCCCAAAGAAACCAATATGTTTAAAAGATAATGTGGATTTTTCTATTGTAATTGCTTGAAGTATGAATGTTGGTACCTGGAAAGTAATCCTAATGTAATGTGTAAAACGATCAACTCAACGCCACCTAACAACAACATAGAAGGAAAATATAATTGAAGGTATTATCGGTGGGAAAAAGTAAAAGAAAAGCTATGTGGAAAAGAGAGAATAGAAGCAAATAACATAAAGAATACACTATAGCAATGTGATGCTTAGATGAGAGGAAAGGGACTAAAACAATAAAGAAAATACTAACTGGGAAAAGAGTAGGGGCAGTGGTGGTTCACTGATAGAATTCTTGCCTTCCATGGAGGAGACCAGGGTTTGATTCCTGGCCAGTGCACCTCATACGAAGCCAACACCTATCTGTCAGTAGAGGATTGCCTGTTGCTATGATGCTGGTCATGGGTTGTATTGTATCCCCAATAAATATGTGTATCAATTTGGCTAGGCCATGATTCCCAGTATTGTGTGATTGTCCACCATTTTGTCATCTGATGCGATTTTCCTATGTGTTGTAAATCCTGTCTCTATGATGTTAATTAGGTGGGATAGGTGGCAGTCATGTTAATGAGACAGGACTCAATCTACGAGATTGGATTGTATCTCGAGACAGAGGAAGCTCATGCTACTAAGAAAGTAGCACTGGGAGCAAAGCACATCCTTTGGACCTGGGGTTCCTGTGCTCAGAAGCTCCTAGTCCAGGGGAAGATTAATAACAAGGACCTTCCTCCAGAGCTGACAAAGAAATCCTTCCCTTGGAGCTGATGCCCTGAATTTGGACTTCTAGCCTACAAGACTGTGAGAGAATAAATATCTGTTTGTTAAAGCCATCCACTTGTGGTATTTCTGTTGTAGCAGCACTATATGACTAAGACAGAATTTGGTACCAAGAGTGGGGTGCTGCTCTAACAGATACCAAAAATGTGGAAGAGGTTTTGAAACTGAATAGGTGGAGGACTCAGAAAGAAGTGAGGAAAACTGTTACCACTGGAGACGGTGCAGATGGTGGGAAGCAGTGGCAGAAAACCAGAGGGAGCAGAGGACTGGCAGCAGCAGAGGACCAGCAGCAGGGGAACCAGGAAACCAGCACCAGACAGAGCTAGAGCCAAACCATGGAGCAAGAGAGCTGAGTGCCTTTGTGAAGGAGGCCTGCTGGCCGAGTGGGGTGCCTCTGGGCACTAATTGGTGGAGCTAGGCTTGCTGATCCATGGAGCAAGAGAACTGAGTACCTTCCAGCTGAAGTTTACTGGCAGAGTGGGGTGCCTCCAGGCACTTATCAGTAGAGCTACAGAGCTTTGGAACACTTGCCCCAGCAAGGCAGACTTAGGCAGAGATGGCCGAGTTGCTGAGAGGCCCAGAAACCGGGAAGCAGAAGCTGAAGAGACAAGAACAGAGGAAGCAGAGCTGCCTCAGTCTCAAAGGGGATGGCTGCAACCTCTCAGGTTTCAAAGGGTGGAGCCATGCTCTCTGGGGTTTCTAAGGGTGGCGTTGCCACTCAGATGGACTAGGAGAATGGTGCACCTAAAGCCGAGGGAGAAAGTTGCTGTCCCAGTGGGCCTGGAAGGCAGAGCTGAAGCCCAGGGCTGATAGGCCTCCGCTCAGAATCTGGAGAGTGTTGCCAATACCTAGAGTTTGGAGGGCAGGGCCATTGTGTAAATTGTCTCAGAGAACAGTGGATTATTTTCAAAGCCTTGAGGGGTAATGTACTGTGTTCTGCTGACTTGATTGGTGCCTGTTACCCTTTCTTTCCCTCCAGTTTCTCCCTTTTGTAATGGAAATGTCTAGCTTGTGCCTCTTCTGCCATTGTACTTTGGAAACAGATAATTTGTATTCTAGATTTCACAGATAAAGAGGAATTTTTGGATTTTGGACTTGGAGTTATGACTTTTGCTATGATACCATGGGGTGAATATGTTTTACATGTGGCAAGGACATGAATTTTTGGAGGCCAAAGTGTGGAATGTCATGGATTGAATTGTGCCCCCAAAAAATATGTGTATCAATTTGGCTAGGCCATGATTCCCAGTATTGTGTGATTGTCCACCTTTTTGTTGTCTGTTATGATTTTCCTATGTGTTGTAAATACTGCCTCTATGATGTTAATGAGGTGGGACAAGTGTCAGTTATGCTAATGAGGCAGGACTCAATCTACAAGATAGGATTGTGCCATTCTTTTGAGATGTAAAAGAGAGAAGCAGCAGAGAGACAGGGGGACCTCATATCACCAAAGAAAGCAGCACAGGAGCAGAGCACGTCCTTTGGACCCATGGTTCCTGAGCCAAGAAGCTCCTAGCCCAGGGGAAGATTGATGACAAGGACCTTCCTCCAGAGCCGACAGAGAAAGCCTTCCCCTGGAGCTGATGCCCTGAATTTGAACTTTCAGTCTATCAGACTATGAGAGAATAAACTTCTGTTTGTCAAAGCCATCCACTTGTGGTATTTCTGTTACAACAGCACTAGATGACTAAGACAATGCTGAACAGGTTTCAAAGGAGCTTCCAGACTAAGACTAGGAAGAAAGGCCTGGTGATCTCCATCCAAAAATCAGCTAATGAAAACCCTATGGATCACAATGGTTTGATCCCATTGTGCACGGGGTCCCCATGAGTCAGGGTCAACTCGATGGCAGCTAACAACAGGGGGTGAAGGATTTTATGTATTAAGATCAATTATTTTGAAGAATCACCCTTAAAGGGACTTAAATATTTCAAGGACAGCACATTCCATGGTACTCGTAG